AAAGGTACACATAGTTATCAACATACCCAGACAACGTCTCGCCCATCTCTTTGAGATTTGCGTCGTCTTTTGTCTTCTCCCCTAAAAAGACAAACTGTAGTAGTCAACGCCAGAGAATGCGCATCCTCTGCTTACAACACTCGTAGCCTTGAACCATCTTTGATTCATCTTCCTTTAGAAAGTTTTCTACGTTTCTCAAAACTTGCACCTTTTGGCGAACGTCGCACGTGCGCTCAGTAAGAATACGACGATACAGCTGAATAATATTTTCACGCATCAGGAAATCTGGATGACCCAAACAAAGAAACCCTAAAACGTTTAACAAATGCAAAATACTCACTGCTTAAAACACCAATACACATGTATATTGCATAATTATTGTATTTAGGTTTATACCAGAAATCCAGAAGCTTTTATTTGGCAATATTTATATTATAGCGAGAATTCCACAATCCGCGGCAATCAAGAAACACACAAAGTTCGTATGCCTTGAATATATATCCACCAATATAATTCAGGCAAATAAGGAAACACGGCATTACCAAAGCTCCTACTAATCCTGAATGACTAGGTTTCAAAACGAGAGTAAATAAAACATTTGTGAGTCGAAAAAGAAATTAATCATCAATCATTCAATCTACTGAACAGCAGAAAATAAGAAAGATAATTAATTTTGATTTTGATTAAGATTAGAAAAATAAATTAGATTTACGCTTAAAATTAGATATCTATAAAAGCGAATCATGGTTATGAAAATTAGAAGCGGGAACCTCCAAAGATCTAAAGAATATTGAGATATCAGTCAAGATCAATTCAAGTTTATTACATGGTTAAAACATTTAATGGCCTTCTGTTACTGATTCATGGTTTTCAGGCAACACCTGCAAAGGAGAATGTAAAATGCTCTTTTTATCGACGGAACCCGAGTCATCATCAGGGTAACAATATACAAATGAAACAACACGGCATAATGATACGCAATTATGTAACTCTTGAGCGAAAACGTCTTCTGTTCTATTAATTATTTCGAACAAGCTGGTCACTGACATGCCATATTTCACTCAAACGAAACGAAGTTATACATCCTTTCTAACGGGAGGTTTTGTTGGTCAACATGCGTAACGACTCTTTAATAAATAGCCCAATGCATAACCTCTAATTATGAACAGAAGAGATATTCATCAGACTATTTCGTCTTTAGTAGAAAGCGTAAAAAACCATGCCAGAATGATCCATTTTCGTATTCGTCAGAACTGCCAAATGTTCTAAACCCCTTTGTCGAATCTTCGCTAGGGTTTGCCAATGCAGGCATGATCGCAGTCGTTACAATGTACGTTCTAAGGCCATGTTCTTTTGCGTCGTTTTTCCTGATTGATTAAGTTTCTAATACATCTGCGATCCAGCGAAACGCCATATTTGCAGTTGGCTCAAAAACCTTTTATTCTCCATGTACAATTTGGTTTTCATAAATAAAACGATATTATGGGTTTACTAGCAACCCCCAAGCTTTCTATACTGCCGGAAAGAGCATAATATTCTCTGTTAACTGTGAATTTACATGGCGTATGTGCACCATCCCCTTGATTCTAGTAGCCAAGTGGACCGTTTAAGCAGGCGACAGCTCCATGGTATTTTTGCACCTACAGCAAATGGATGCAAAACAGAATCAGCAAGCAGGGTCAAAAAAACATGTTTGAACACATACCGAAGTGCTAATATCCATAAGCATATTCATGCATTAAAAAACACCGATATTATAGAATTAATAATGAAACGCTAGCTTTTGATACCCCCGGTAAGAAAACAACATTCTGTAATTTGGGAGAATAACATATTTTCATATATAAATGGTATTTCAGCAGGTGTTCGAAAAGATTTTTGATTGGACCAGTTTAGTAATTCGGTTTCGAATTTATGCACCGCAGGCGCCAAAACTCCATGGTATCGTTGCCTGCTTAAATGGTCCCCAAGGTCATTAGATGCAAGGTGAGAGTACGCATACGCCGTGTACGTCCGGAATTAACAGTGAATGCTACTGCTTTATTTCGTAAAGTACGGATAAATACAATCGAGTTTATTAATACTTCCATTGCTGGACTTATTTTTAACATCAACGTTAAGATCCTATCAATACTCTGCAATTAATTCCTCACTATAGTCATTATAGCGTAAAAAATTTTGTAAATGCTCAATTTCAACTTTTTAAATAGTGTGGTACAAATCTTAAAGGTCTGTCTCATTATTTAACAAAAAATTATTTACTTACGAGTTAGAATTTAATGACGAAAATTTTAGGGCGAAAGCAGCGGTTGAAAAGCTAACGCTTTCAATAAACTGTAAAATCAAACGTTTTTTTGCTGATTTGGCTGACTGGGTCACAACCTTCTTTTTTTACAGCATGGTTGACCATACTGGGTTCAGAAAATATGCTCATAACAAAACATACGCTAATATGCTACACTGCAAGCGTATGTTTTATTCTTTCAATCAAACATTGTTACGGTTGTTAGCAGTTTTGTTTCAAATGCACATCAAGAATACAGTAGAGTATTAGACAAACAGAAATTTGCAACTAGATATGTTGTGCGCTATAGTAATAATATAGAATGAAACTGGCAATAAGCTAAAGTAAACACCAAGAAACTTACCAAGAGACAACAAAGCTTTCAGCTTGATATCGTCTTCACACGACACGAAATACATTATGGCACGGCACACCTGCTCTTTCCAAGGATCCTAAATGGCAAGGTTAGAAATTCACGTCGTTCGGCTTAAATAAACATAAAATTGCAGAACGCACGGCTAAGGAGAGAAGGTCTTCAGCTCACACAAAAAACTGAGATTGATCAAGAATGTTGTGTAATACCGGCTTTATGATCAAAGGCACTAACAGAAAATATAGGAATCTTAATTGTGTGTTATTAAGCTGCTAAGGTTTAGGCCAAACAACATAGACCATCATCAGGTTAAGCAATTAACCGAAGTGAAACACGATGAGCTGACGTAAATGCCAAGGCTACCAAGGCTAACTAATGAAACTTCATGCCCGGAGATGTTCAGTTAATCAGAGTTGCCATTACCCAACATGGACTGAGATGTGGCGTGATTCTCTGATACGAAACTTCATATCTTTCCAGTCCTGCTAATCGATCACAATGACATTCGCCTCGAGATGTCGGAAATCACTATCTAGGTTATGAGCAACAAACTAGATTTATTCGGATAGTGGTTCATAATAGATTTCTGATGTTGAATAATTCCTACTTTTGCAACCTTAAAGGAAAAAGATAAATATTTTTGCAGTAGCAAAAGCTAAGGGAGTAAACAACTTTTCAGCTGGCGTAAAAATATGACAATCAAACAACTTGCACGATATGGATCTCCATATAACCCGTGAAGGAAAGCTTTGAATTTACATATGATTTAAAATCTCAGGATTTTTACAGTCTGTGGACATGCCTTCGTGGCATACGGGATAGATGGCGAACTAAGGGCCATCCAATCACTGTATTCTGATAGCAGGTGCTGTGACAGAGTTAATGGCATTAAGTCGAAATCATTCAACGTTCGCACTGGTCTCCGCCAAGGCTGCGTCCTGTCTCCTATCCTGTTTCTGTTGTACATGGTAGAATAGTCAGGCGCTGCCAAAGTGATGAGGGTATCGGTATAGGAGATGCTAAATCGAGAAGGTTGCTGTTTTCAGATGATCTAGTTTTATTAGCATCTTCTGAAACTGATCTTCAGTGCTCCTTAGAAAGGTTCGCAGCCGAGTGCGACGTGA